TTGCATTTGAACTCGGAAGGTCTCAGAGACAGAACAAAACGTTTGATTCGATGCTCCTGACTTTGTTTCTTCATTATTTTATACGCTTCAAACCTTCATTTCCCCTAAGTTTTGTATGTCTGAAGGACAACCTCGTTCCTGGGTTAAGCATATGACGTCATATGCTTCACGTTTGGGTAAAACCGCCAACCGATGTCACTTCGGCTCAGATTAATGGCGGATAGGAAAAAACCGACTTTCAAAGCTCGATTTCTCCTGCTTTTCAATGATGTATCGATAAAAAAATTCTCAGAAATACTTATTTGGATCTTCATAAGGAGGTATATGTACAAAAACAGCTCAAATTCGATGTTCGGTTTTCATCGTACCCGCACTTTAACTATACATATCAAATGAAGCACAAGAGCTGGTCGATCTCATTTCATCTATTTACATAATGTACAATAATCAAACTTTCTATTTGGACTTTGAACAAGGACATGACAGCAAGAATGCTTGGAGAAGATCGATGTATGGGCGTCTGAGACYAGRTGCTGTAAGAGAACTAGTGTCAATATCGTAATAGTCACAGATGGCGATGAACATTTTAATGGTGAGGCGCTTGAAGCCATTTTCTTTTTCTTTCMTTTCGCAAAGATTGTAGTTTTCAAAAGTAATYGGATGCTGAAGATCACAATTTGCGATGATGTCATTTCGCGCTTTTTGATAGAGCTCTTCTTCTGTGGCAGCTTCAAAAAGTTCACTGGCGTCGGATGCTATGGCTTGTCCCTTCAGCTTGGAGGTCGTCCTACTAAAGTAAGATTGTATTTGCTTTGAGGTTAGAAACTCGTCAATCGTGAAAAGTCTATTGCCAGTATCATCCTTTGCGTACCGCATTTCACGCGAAACATCTTCAGGGTCGACTTAATGGCCAGTTTCTTGTCCAATAAGGAACTTATCATTCAGAAAGTTTTTCTGTTGATCACTAAAGCGTACATATCCCTTTGACTTTTTCAAAGCCCAACCCTCTGATAGGCTGTCTTTTCCGGGAACGGAACAAAGCTGGGAACTAGATAAGCCTGGAATAGTGTCGGCATCTTGAGAATGTAACTTTTCATGGTATAAAATTTTGGCTTTGTCAAATAGACTTTCCTTTTCAGTGACTGGTTTACATTCACCATACATTATGTGGTTTTCAAGTGATCGGTATCGCTGGTACTCCTTAACACATCCGTCCTTGGGGCAGGTGAAGAGACCTGATTTTTTTGTACTTGATGTCGTTTCTATATGACTTTCATTATCATCCTGTTCACTTTCTTCATCAGGAGTGACTTGATTCTTCGATCGAATCTCACCAAAATCTCCGTCTGAAAATKTATCGCTAAACTTTGCCATCGGTGGTATTTCCGAACCTATGCAAATAAAACAAAAAAGTAGATGAAACAAATGCAATGATTGAAAAATAATTCAACGAGTTAAATGTATGGAATGAATAAAGAAATGAATGAAACGAAGAAAATGAATCAATGAGTGGAATTATTAGAAAATTAAAGAATTAAGTTAATGAAAAGAATGAAAGGAAAAAACTAATTGGAACGAATGAATGAATTGAAACGAAGAAAATAGAGTTAACGAATGAAATGAGCAAAACGAATGGAATGAACAACAAATCTGACAAAACGAAAAATTAAATGAAACGATTGAGATAAATGAAACGAGGAAAATGAATGAAACGAACAATCAACCAAATGAATGTAAGTCAGTGAAAAAAGATGAAAGGAATGAAATGGGATGAAAGGGATATTTACAACAAAAGTACAATAATAACCTTTTTCTTTTGGCCATACAAGAGACTTCCCATCGCCAATGTCGTAAGCTTTCCACATCTTAACGCTGTCTTGATTGTATTGAAAGTTGTTCAATGAGTTGATGCCAGTAATCTTAATTCCTTCGATGGGTTGGATTCCTGCAGAGTCAACAACAGYAACTCTGACGCCGTGTACACCCCCATAGGAAAGAATGGCCTCGTTCAACTCTTCAGCACTGGTAACATCATGGCCCTCATTTATGTAACGGCGAATGTGAGCTTTGATTGTAGCACTTTTACGGTCACAAGGACCCTTACCCCCTTGAGGGTCGCTGAAGTCGATCCTTTTTATCTTAATCCCAGTCTCGCTTTCCATATGACGACAAGCAGTTATCATAGCGGCACTATGGTAGCAGCCTGCGTTGTCTTGCTTGTAACATGCAGTTGTGATTTCAGGATGTTCACTTTTAAGGTTTCTTAAGGTGTGCTCTRTGAGAGATATGACGACGTCGCTGTCTTGGCTGCAGTTCTTCACTATGTGCACAAATGATTTGGTGCTCTAGCTCTCCTGATGCTGACCGTCTAACTACTACAGAYATGTGCCAGCTGATCCCTCTCTTCCCGAACCAGTCGGCCTGAGTTTCTCGGTACTTCTGTGGAAGAAACTTCATTGCCCAGTCTTCTGTGATTAATATTGTGTGCTCATCTAGCTCATTAATTACATCGATGCGTGATTTATCTTGTCTCAWTGATCTGAGCTGATGAGATTTCCAAGCATCAATAGACTGTATAGCCTGTCGAGAAGCAAACATCATGTCATCACCTTTGTCATTTTTCAGATMCTCGTGAACTTTTGTCACTGCTTCTTCYATARAAGCAAGGACATCTTTAAGTTCTTCACATGAAGAACATTGTAGCTCATGCTTATGGCCGCATGCTGAGCGCCACTTCTCTTCTTT